TATAACTAGCCCCGACCTATTTCGTAACGCTCTTGTTTAAAACTTTTTTTAACTTTTGCGTTCGTGATATCTGTACTAAAGTAGAATACGATTCTAGAATCATTTATTATTAGGTACTAGTTGTTCTGTCCGTGCCTCACAACGAGGAGTGAGCGAATAGGAGATATTTTGATTTATAGTATTATAAAATATAATAATATTATTTTAATTTATTAGAAAAATAAAGAAACACCTTGTCCAATCTAATTTCATTTCATCAATGAGCGTGTCAGAAGGAAAATTACTCTACAGATGCATTTTTATCCTTTTGAAACACGTAAGGCTCTTTACAAACTCCATGAATCATATATGTCAACTTACACACGAATTATACACAAAATTTGTTTAAAATATCAATTGCTGTGTTAAAATATAAAATACTACAATAATAAATAACAATTGAAACAGAATTCAAAGGTTTGCACACAATCGTACATTGTAATAAACATCCTACTTTGTAAGGTCGCCATTTCATTGTTAATTATTAAAGTACCGTCCCTGGCCAGAAAGTAATCAACTTAACACTGCTTAAATGTTATAGACTATTATAAGCTAATGATCTTAGCTCAGTATATTAGTATATTAGTTCATTATCAACTAAGATTTCGCAGTAAAAGTCGTCTAATATTAAAATTTATCCTATAACTAACCGTGAACTATTCCGTATCGCCCAATGTTTAGTATATTTTTTTTAATTTTAGCGTTAGTAATATCTGTAATCAAGTCGTTAACGATTCTACAGTTTATTATTCATTGAAATTGTGTAAGCAAATCATCACCTAAGTTTTTGTAGTAATAGTCGTCAAAAATCACAATTTATTTTCAACCTCTACGCAAACTATACGCTAATTAGTAATGTTCATAGCTATTTCTTTAAGGTTCGAGTTCGTGATAATCATGTTCTAGTAGACTACTATATTAGAATTTACTATTATTTATAACATCTGCATAAGTTAATTATCAGTATCACCTACGAGTTTGCAGTGAAAGTCGTCGAAAATCACAATTTATTCTCACACTCTACTACGCGAGCCAACCCTTAATTATTTGCCATGTTGAAAGCTATTTCTTTAAGGTCCGCGTTCGTGATAATCATGTTTTAGTAGTTTACAATCCTAGAATTTACTATTATTTATAACATGTTTATAAGCTAATTATCAGTACCACCTACGATTTTGAAGTGAAAGTCGTCGAAAACCGCGTTTTATTCTCAAACCCTAACCCAGCCATGCCCTAATACACGATGTTCAGAGCAATTTTTTTAAGGGTCGCGTTCGTGATATTCATGTTCTAGTAGTTTACTATCGTAGAATGTATTATTAATTATAACATGTGCATACGCGAATCATCAGTACCACCTACGATTTTGCAGTGATGATTGTCGAAAATCAAAATTTATTCTCACACTCTACACGCGAGCCATCGCTTTGGCTAATTATTAGCAATCTTTAAAGCTATTTCTTTAAGGTTCGCGTTCGTGATAATCATGATCTAGTTGTTTACAATTCTAGAATTTACTATTTTTTATAACATGTGCATAAGCTTATTATCAGTACCACCTACGATTTTGAAGTGAAAGTCGTCGAAAACCACGTTTTATTCTCAGACCCTAACCCAGCCATGCCCTAATACACAATGTTCAGAGCAATTTTTTTAAGGTTCGCGTTCGTGATATTCATATTCTAGTAGTTTACTATCGTAGAATGTATTATTAATTATAACATGTGCATACGCGAATCATCAGTACCACCTACGATTTTGCAGTGATGATCGTCGAAAATCAAAATTTATTCTCACACTTTACACGCGAGCCATCGCTTTGGCTAATTATTAGCAATTTTTAAAGCTATTTCTTTAAGGTTCGCGTTCGTGATAATCATGATCTAGTTGTTTACAATTCTAGAATTTACTATTTTTTATAACATGTGCATAAGCTTATTATCAGTACCACCTACGATTTTGAAGTGAAAGTCGTCGAAAACCACGTTTTATTCTCAGACCCTAACCCAGCCATGCCCTAATACACAATGTTCAGAGCAATTTTTTTAAGGTTCGCGTTCGTGATATTCATATTCTAGTAGTTTACTATCGTAGAATGTATTATTAATTATAACATGTGCATACGCGAATCATCAGTATTACCTACGATTTTGCAGTGATGATCGTCGAAAATCAAAATTTATTCTCACACTCTACACGCGAGCCATCTTTGGCTAATTATTAGCAATTTTTAAAGCTATTTCTTTAAGGTTCGCGTTCGTGTTATTGATGTTCTAGTAGGTTATTATCCTAGAATTTACTAATACTTATAACATGTACATATGCTGATTAGCAGTACCACCTAAGTTTTAGTTGTTATAGTAGTCGAAAATCACAATTTATTCTCACACTCTACTACGCGAGCCATCCCTTAATTATTTGCCATGTTGAAAGCTATGTCTTCAAGGTCCGCGTTCATGATAATCATGATCTAGTAGTTTACAATTCTAGAATTTACTATTATTTATCACATGTGCATACGCGAATCATCAGTACCACCTACGATTTTGCAGTGATGATCGTCGAAAATCACAATTTATTCTCACACTCTACTACACGAGCCATCGCTTAGGCTAATTATTAGCAATTTTTAAAGCTATTTCATTAAGGTTTGCGCTCATGATATTCATGTTCTAGTAGATTATCCTAGAATTTACTATTACTTATAACATGTGCATATGCTAATTAGCAGTACCACCTAAGTTTTAATTGTTATAGTAGTCGAAAATCACAATTTATTCTCAAATTCTACGTGAATTATCCGCTACTTAGTCATGTTCAGTGCTATTTCTTTAGGGTTCGCGTTCGTGATATTCATGTTCTAGTAGTTTATTCTAGATTTAACTATTATTTATAACATGTACATATGTTTGTACCACCTAAGTTTTAGTTGTTATTGTCGTCGAAAATCATAATTTATTCTCAAACTCTACGTTTACAACTATGTTGTTAACACCCGCGTTATCCTACGTGCTAAATAGGTTGAGTAATACAGTTGGCTTGTAATTTGTTGAAATATGTTTGGTTTGGAAAGATTTGACTTCCATTCGTGGAATTATAAGCTCTCGATGCAAGCGTTGCATTTTTAGAACGTTACAAAATTCCAAAACTCCCCAAACACTCACGAAGGGACCAGGCGCATTCTTTAGGATATTTCAGTAGGAAATATTTTCTAATGAGTTGTTCTCCGTATGGCTGTGAGTCAACGCCAATACTGTATTAAACTACAACAACATTGATTAAAAATCACCGAAATAAAAGAAAACACATCGTTAAGTTTCACAATATTAATTATACTCCCAGCTCCCATACCACTAATAGCACTTTCAAAGATTAACTTTGAGGTCTACTTTTATTTGCACCCTGCTTACTTTCCACTGGCAAGTCGTAAATCAAAAGGGCAAAAAATCTAGGTCGTCAGATAGGATCGTCAGCTATCTTCAGGCTAGTCAGTCACCTATCTTCAGGCTAGTTTGTCAAAAGCCAAAAGCTGCACTCGCAATCAGCATTCATACTACAGCACAGCCTTCTTGATCGAACTAAATATTTTAGTCCTTTGCGTAATATAAAAATCTCATACTATAATAATAATCTGCATTAAAAAAAAAAACTATTCATATTGGGAGAAGATAAGTTTTGATTGAGGGTGAGCCACTTTTTTGAGAAAACATTATTTTCATTTAATTTGATCATATTTATTGACAGAAAATCCATTTTTTACAGATCAATCACATAGAATTCAAGGGATGTAATAGACCAGAAAAAATGTTATTATAGTGTGTCGCGTATTTGCATTGTTGTTGTTAATTGTTTTTTTTTTTAGACTATTATAATGTTAAGTTAATGTCCCCGCTTATTTAATTAGAATTCAAGATTAAGTGTGGTCTCATTGATGATTGATTATCTATGGTTGCTTCGAAGGTATTATCCGGATTCCACTTATTTTAGTGGGCGCGCTGTCGTGGTTATGTTAGGTTGGGTTATCATAGGTTCGTCGATTCATAACGATACCAGAGATGAGTCATGCCCACCAAATCTCCTCCAAGTAGACCAAGGTCAGATCGTTGCCCGGAGCGCGCGCATCACCTGTCACCGCTTGTATCTCCGATCATCGATGTATAAGAGTTATTATACATCGATGTCTCCGGTATCGTTACTCATCTAGCATCGTTAGATTCATAACAAAACGAGGAAAATCCTACAAACATATTTATGATAACCCAACCTAACATAACCGCTTCGGTGCGCTGTATACCTCACCGTATACAGCGGTGTACTATACCGCTATATTTTTTTTGTACTAGGTGGAGTACATGTATTAGTACACATTCAACTCAATCCTCCCTCACCGACATTGCTGCCATCTGGGAGGCAGAACTAAAAGGCCACTAATCATGTCAAATTTGGACATTAAGTCAATAATTAAAGTATGTTATTTCAAATTATGTAGTTATTTTTGGTCTCCAGTAAAAGAATCCCACTAAAATAAGTGGCCCTCGGATAGTACCAAAGTACCAAATAGAGCAGAGAGCACAATTCTGTGCTCTCTGGAATAGAGTGACAATTAGGCTACGTGCTCTACACTTAAACTATATTAGGACTCCTAACGTGACCATAAACAAGAAACAATTATGTGATAATCAATAGTGATATTTATCAGATTTATCTACAATTTCCACAATTCATTGGCAACCTTTCTTAGACTTAGTTTTTAAGGCAGATGTATTTATTTTTGTAAATAAATTCTTTTCTCTCTACAAAACCAATAAAAAATAATCACACACAGCTGATAGTGACATTTTTGTCATCTTCATCTTCACTTCAATTCTCTTCTACTGTACACTGGAGTCTACACTACAGCTGTTGTTGTTGTGTTTGCTTAGTTTTTGTTTTGCCTTGTGTTGTATGTATGTGTGTCTTGACTTGTTGTTGTTATTCATTTTACTGTAATATCGATAGACCTATCTAATTTATTTTGTTGATTCATAAGTAAACTATAAATACTATAATTTATTTGGTAAAAATGTATTTGAATTCATTTAATATTTTGGTTCTGAATATTTAGTATGTTAGAAAGTAAACAAACATAACCTTTGACAATAACATAAAAAGTAACAAACATAACCTAAAAATTCCGTCCATGTTATAAGCCAACAAATTTAGGTAAATAGATATAGATAGTAAGTTAAGTGTTATTCTTTGCTAGTCCGATACAGCTACTATTCATTTTGACAACAAGACTTTATTTGTGTTTTCAACATCGATTATTATCCTATTACTGTACTTCCTTCTTCACTTTGAGCCTAGGGCTGGCTAAATTAGGTATTGACTGTGTCATAACAAAAAACAAAACAGGTAAAAAACAAACAAACTTTCTTCTGAGGGTTATGAAGATGACTGTGGGTTTGCAACAGTCCCGATTTTGGTTCCTTATGCCCGTGGGTTCAGTTTCTTAACTGGGCTATGCTAATATTGATTGAAACTATCGATTTGGTTAGTAATTAAACCTTAATGCGATTTAGGAATTTTTAAATGTTACTGCAAGTTTGGTTAGTTATTTTAGGTTATTTTTTAGAACAGTTTCATTCCATTATTGTTTGTTGATACTGAACAATATTTATCATAAGTTGTCAGCTGATATGTTTCAATTTGTTAATATCGATATATCGAGAAAAAATCATCGATAATAGTGAATGTTCCCTTTAACAGGAAAGTACCGAAAGGAGTTATTTTAATCTAAAATTGCTATAATATAATTAAGCCTAAGAATAAGAACATAACTTTTTTATGGTAAGTTGTGTGTGGATAATTTCACAGAGGGACTAGTTTTGTTCCTGAAATAAGTTATTCTATATATTAAATATTTAGACATTGTATTAATTCAAGTAGTTCTCGTTAAGTTAGGAGTAGGAATTTTTAGGCTTTAAGAAAATTTTAGTTACTTAATTTACACCTGGATTGGATTAAGCTTTTTAATTTGTAGAAAACCCTTTTACCATAAAGAGTACTTAGTTTTTATTCATGTATGCATTGACTTGAAGTAATTTTGCAGACGCAATGGCAGTAGTCCAGAACTCAAGAGCTGCAAAGTGTGCGAGGAGAGGATTGGAAGAGGATGAAGCTCCAGAACACGTTCCATCAGCTGGTGAGCTCTTAATAAAACAGCTGGCTCAGAAGCAAACCAACACCAACATCAGTCTTGAAGAGTAAGTATTTTCGTACGCAGCGAAATTAAGTAACTGATTGAATTGGTTTTAGGGGTTTTTCCCGGACATGAGAGAATAATTTTTGGTAGGTATCCCTCAAAGGTCTCAATTTAAACCCCCCCCCCATCCACCTTATATAAATGACTTATTAAAAAAAATATCTAGACAAATGCCGTGATGATTGGAGACAATTACTCTATCGGGTGTTTACTTTAGCAAAAAGATATGACGACCACGATGATTCCGATGTTGATCACCTGATAGTCTAACACGGAAATTCCAGGTACTAACTTCTATAAAATTGCTAATTTTCTCCTTTTAAGTCTATTAAGCAATACAAAGTTAATACAATTTATATTTTCAGGCAATTAAAATATGAGAAGAAATTTGAACGTGGAGTTGGATGTGTAACGATTGGAGAATTTTCACCCGGAACCAGCACCTTACAAGAATTTGAAAAACGAAAACTGAGAGCTGAAAAAATACAAGAATTTAAGAGTCGAGAATTGACTAGGGACGATGCAAACGCTGTAACAAGCAACTATAGCGATTGTAAAGCATCTCCTGTGGCTGTCACTGCCTCTAGCCGGCATGCTCAGCAGATTGAATCCAACAAGTCAAGTAGGTAAGTATACAAGTGTTTGAAGATTGATACGGTACGAGGTAATGACTGCTGCGGGGACAAAGAAGTCTTATTTAATCTTACCACTATCCATAGTGACTATTATCATTTATGATAATTTTGGTTGGTACAAATATTGTAGGTAGGCTATGGTTATCAAGTTCATTAGTCTCTACAACACTCAATTAACCAAGGTTGTCAGGACCGAGACTACATAGATTACCGAGATCTTGTATAGATAGATAGGTCATTTAGATTTTGACATTAGGAGTTACGGTACCACATTAGGAAGTCAATCGGGTCAGTATCAAAACATCGTAATGACAAAAGGCTATGCCGGTGAATACTTTAGCAGAAATGCCACTGCTATTGGTTTTACGTTTTACAGACAACTCATCCAGGTTGCGAATGCTGGCGGCCATCCTAGTATTGTGTGGTATTCTAATAACATAGGCCTAATTATTGTTTTTTGACCAAAAATTTAAAAAATAGTTATATTAAGGCTTAAAACGATATAAGAGCTTATATATAAGAGGGCTCGGATAACTGGGGCTTTGACAATCGATTGGATCAAACAAAATTTGAACAAAAATTTGTAGACATTGTGCAATATTCCTCTTTATGCCTGGAATGTCATTGGTCTGTTTTCCACCAGTGACCAATCACTGAGTCGGAGAGATATGGAACTGGCCTATAGTGTAAAGCCGAACTCTCTAGAGACCCGACTGTACAAGTTTGCGATGGAGAACACCCGAGGCACTGTCCAGAAGACACCCGAGCCTCTGGGTCACCCGATCCACAGTTTGGGTGAGATGGAACTGGCGTTGACCCGAGAGGCTGAGGCGGACCCTCAGAAACTGGCGAAGACAGTTAGACGGAAGCGGAGACAATTGGTAGAGGCGATGGAAGAGCCAACCGTGGTGAGTAAAGATAATGAAAGTCTCCATATGCCTGATCAGGAGTACAAAGTAGATAATAAACATTTAGCTGAGCTCATTTAGCCTTCTGTACTGGAAGAAATTACTCTTATCAGGTTGTATTAAACCAGCCTTCTCAAATGCAAGATCTCGACAAGACAAAAGTTGCAACGCCGCAATTCTAGCCTACTGAAATAGCTGTTGCATCAATTCATTATGGAGCGTCTGTGCAATGTTTATGTTTACACGTTTGTTATTATCATGGCAATAGGCTGGCCAGTGCGACATTGCCACACACCAAAAACTCGAACATGTATAAGAAAGAAGGCTATGATTAAACCATGTTACATGAGTGCTAACTCTATTTAGGTGTTTCACATGAAGTTGAGGTTGTTGGTTAATACTTACTGCTGTGACATTAACACTAAGTTGACAATCATTAAAAAAAATTTATTTTGTCTAATGTAGAGTAGTACGTCTTCACAAGCCACATTATTTTGAATCTAAATATATATTAAGAAATTCACAGCCTTGTAGAGGTAAATTTTGAAAAAAAGTCTGCACTTACAAAGTGATAGCTTAAAATAATTGCTGGATCATTGTGAAACTTTGTTTATAAACCTTTTTGAATTCCGCAGGTACACTACAAGCCTCCCAAACCACACAGTTCTCTATGGGATTGTATAGAACCTCCCGTGATCCTTCCTAAGCCCACCAGGATCGCCACTTGCAAGAGAGAAACTTTCTTCACCGTGAAAAACGGACAAATCGTCCCTCTCGACAGCAAAGATAAACTCCATACACCTGAAGTGAAAGGCACGGAGAGATTGGCGGGTGAGCCGTTTGTAGCACTGGAACTTCCCACTCAGAATCTGGACGTTTCTGCTAGACTTACGGAGCAGGAGATACGGAATCTTCCGAGGTTTCACAACTATCAACGTGGTCCTGTTTCTAAGGTAACTGAAAGAGAGTAATCCAGAGAGTACAGTAGGCCTAATCTAACACATTAGGGTTTATAAATTTTAAGCTTTTATTAAAAAATGCGCTCACTTACCTTCAGGTTAGCTCGTTCGCTACGCTAACTCGCCTCCGGGTTGAAGTTCGTTCGCTACGCTCACTCACCTTTTGGTTGCAAATTAGCTGTTGTCATAAATTTAAAAAAATAATAGTGCTGCACTCTGTTGGTAATCCTTGTAACTTTAATGCTATTGAACATCACAGAACAGAACCAACTTGTTTAATTGAAACAGCTGTTATGATTCATTAATTCCATTTAAATATGAGTACTCATTAGGTTAACATGGGAAACTCCAGAGCCACTGGGGCGGAGCCCGAGAGTCCGATTAGAATAAAAACCACTTAGTTTTCCTATTTAATGCCTAAAGAATCAGTGTACCAAATTTCAGCCTCCTAGGTAAGTGGGAAGTGGGAGAATTAGTGATGAGTGAGTGAGTGAGTCAGTCAGTCAGTCAGTCAGTCAGTCAGTCAGTGAGGGCTTTGCCTTTTATATATATAGATACCCCCGCCGCAGCAAACCTGCAGACTAAGCGAATTTCAACTTCTCTGATTACATTTTTACTCAAATATTTCCATAAATAAGACATTGGTATTTATTCCCTATTTAAATAACATTAGATTTAACGAGTGCTTAGGTTTGCTGCTACGGGGAAGGTAAAAAGTGATTTTTGACCATACCTCAATAGTATAGGATGAAATAAATAAATCTGCCAAATTTTATCATTATATATCCATAAACAAGTAAACTACAACAATTTTCATTTTCTCCATAAGAATAACATGGGAATTTTAAATTACACTATTTTTTAATTTTCTCTGTGACCGTTATGCATAAAACAGCGCTTCAATATACTAAATTATTTCTTTTTTTAAGCTCTACAAAATGGTTTGAAAAGAAATTGCAAATTTTTTTGTTTTTAGGGTCAAAAATGGGAAAACCCATTTTTACCCCATAAAACCCCCCATAAACCCCCGTTCCCATGGTCCGATTATGCTGGATCGCGAACTCGTTCGAATAAACGTAGGTTTACACGTTTGTACCAAATTTCATCAAAATCGGATCATTTTTGCTCGAGTTATCGCGCTAACGGACACATATATATATATATAAATATATATATATATATGAATTTGAACGGATGGTGTTTTTGGCCTCTAGGGACCTCAAAATGAAAAATTAAATCGGTCCCGGGTCCAGGTCTTACCATGAGTACTACGGTAATAGCTTATTCCCTATATGGGAAATTCGCTAAAAAGTAAAAGAATACCTTTTAACCTTGCTATGGTAGAAGCCGTCTAATATGTCACCTTTTAAAACAGGACGGAGCCTATGGTCAGAACGCAAAAAGGTTAGATATCAGAAAACATACATTGGTGTTTGATGTAAGACCTAGGCAAAGCAATACTAGTAACAAATAGCAGCCTAATCCCCATAGTTTCAGTTATTTAGAGAACTAATTCAAGTCAATTTTCATGTTACACCCCGTTCACAAAAGGCCGTTTGAGGGGAAGCGATTCCATTCCCTCCACCTCACCCTAGCTTTGGAACAACAGTTGACAGCTGATCCATAATTTAAAAAAAAATGGTGGGAACCACTTTTGTTTTTATTCTAAAAAAAATGTAACCAAACATTAATTTTGTTGTTTTTAATTGGCTAAGTTACGATTAGACTCTTATAAACTTACACAGAATGCTTTATTTACTTGTACCTATGACTTTTTCAGATATTGTATGTAAAAAATCTCAACAGTAATGTCACAGAAGATGATTTGATTGCAATATTTGCAAAATTTCAAGAGCAAAATGAAGATAAAATAATTTTTCGGTTAATGACTGGGAAACTGCGAGGTCAAGCATTTGTAACTTTTAGAAGTAAGTATTATTTTATTTTTACTTTCTCCCCCTATACATAGTACCTTATATGGAGAAATTATTGTTTTTGTAAAAATTTATGAGTTTGAGTTTTGAATAGATAGATCTGTTTTGGATCTCCCTGAACCCAAAAAAGTGGTTTTCGAAGTGATGGCCACACATGTGTATCTACAGAGCTACAGACCCCACCTGTAGTTTGATTTTGATGAAATTTGGTATGTAGGTACAATTCCTTGGTATCTCCAGGCATTTTTTTAATTTTTTTTATTTTTAATGGTGATTTTCCCATAAAACCAATAAATAATGGAAAAATCAAATTTTCTGAAAAATGGCCCTAACGATTTTGATAAAAATTGAGTATGTTGTAGCCCTTTAAATTGTGAACAAAATGGTAGAACTCCCATTTCTGGTTAACAAAAAATATATACAAATTATGGTTCAAAGGTTATTGTAATTTATGTTATTTCCCAATAAAACCCCATAAAATAAAAGAAAATCATATTTTTGAAAAAAGTCGGTTTTTGATTGAAATTAGTACCTATGTGATGGTCATTATAATTCTTATTAACATAGTGCAACCCCCCATGGCTGTAAAAATTATGGATTTAAAAAATAAAATAAAAAGGTTTTGAGTGTAATTTGTCTGTGTAAAAATTGCTAGCTTAACTAAACTAGTGTAAACTAAAGGTTGTTGACAAGCTAATGGGAGAAAGTATATGTCAGATTGCTGATACCGTTTATTTCCAATTAGACTATTATGATTTGCAGTACCTGTCTCGGTTACTAAAGGAACTTTTAAACCCTTCTGCTGATCTTCCTCTTATATCTGGTATTTCTAGCTGGGTTAGAAGAAATTGGTGGTTAAGGCAGTCGAAAGCCTTAAGGTTTACTAAAATCTAGGAAGAGGCTTGTAGAAGCACTGCCTTCTTCTAGTTGGTCTAGTATGTGCTCCGACCGTTTTATTAAGGCTGTACCTGTTAAATCTTCCTTTGATAAATTTGTACTGTTGACAATTTGAGAAGGTTACTGAAGATCGAGTTGGGGTTATGTGAGTTGTATCTTTTTGATAATTTATTTTAGTTGACACTAGGGTGATTGGTCTGCAGCTATTTCTTTCTTTGGTTGGTCCATTATAGTACTTTAGGTAAACTTTAGCTTTTAATTTACCTGGAATATTTCTCGTGAGAGTGACTTGTTTTTTAGGTCTGTCAATGGTATTGCTATTTTATTTTTGTAGTTTTAACACGTTCGCTACTGCAATAGTACGAAATTTTTCATTCACATGGACCAGCGACGCACATATGCGACGGCCGGTTTCCACCCGTATATGCGACGGCTAGTCACATTAAAATAGACTGCCGTCACATATTTACGTTGGGGTTCTAATGTTATTCAAATGCTTATATCTTTGTAACGGTCTATTTGAAGGCACTGAATTCCCTGCAGTGGTCTACAGAGATGTCTGACGCACAACTGGGTCGCTTGGTCTGTGGATATGATGATTGGTGACGTCATATGATAGTTTGAAAAACTGGTCTTTACTTTTCTGCATCGCTGTATGTATGTATGCAGTATGTATGCTGCATTATCCTATCTAGCTTTTATATTTGTTCAGTTATAAACTGTTCTTGAATAATCTGTTATTTTTTACTTACTTTTAATTAAAAACACAAAAAAAATGAACTGTCGCATATATGCGACGTTTGGTCTATTTCAAGAAAACTATGATAATTTTCACTATTGTCTTCGCTGTAGACCGGGCGTCGCAAATATGCGACATTACAAAAGGTTATAAAAAATACAGAAAAACAAGAATAAATTATTTACAAACACGATTGTAGTGCATTACAATGTAAATGATCGCTGTATTACAGGTTTTCGCCCGTGGTCTGTGTGTACTGTTATCTAAGTGACAGCCGGTCTATGTGTAAGATTAAAATGTATACCTCGGTCTGTGGCAATGACCGCGGCGTCGCATATATGCGACGCTCAGTAGCGAACGTGTTAATGAGTTCAGCTGATAACTCATCGGTTCCAAAAAGGTTTTTCATCTTAAGTGATTGTTGTAGATTTAACTTATAATAAGGAAATGTAGTTTTGTCATAGTAAACAGTTTGTTTAAGTGTTACCAGATATGAGAAAATTTAAGCGATTTTATAATTTCATGTACATTTTTGGAGTTGTTAACAGTTAAGTTTGTGTTTTAGGATAACAAACATATCAGTTGTTGCCTAAATGCAGAGGTCCTGTTTATAATACCAGAGGTTGATTTATTTTTATTTTATATACTAAATTTCTTTTGCTGTGTACCTGCATTATTTGCAGTCATGTTGGAATGGTTTTTCAAACATTAACAACTATGTTTTATTGCAGGTTGTGAAGTTGCCACAAAAGCTTTGGAGGAGGTCAATGGAATTGTTGTGAAAGGGAAGCCAATCATCATCCAATATGGCCGAAACCAAACATGAGGTTGTGATCTATTCCCTCGTGGAATAATAATGGTTCTTTCTTCAGAAGACAAACGATTTTACACAGCGAAAACCTTGGTCTTACTGAAAATATAATCCTTCCGGGAGGATACACTTGCCAGTCAAAACAACCGAGTTGGTACTTTTGATTTTTGATTGTAAAACTGGTATTAAACGGGTAACCCGAGTAGTGCCAACATAATTCACATGCAACTTTCAAGCACTGCAACACTCGACTGCTGACAAAGTACAATAGAAATGATGCACACACGCTCCCGTTGCTGGATGTTTACTGAGTGTAGGAACGCTCAGATACTAAGATGGCTTTGGCACCGCCCCAAGCAATGCTAATGCGAAACGTCTGCTATTTCATTGACAGCCCTAGCAGTTTTTAACTGTTTTCAGACCTTACAAATATTGTAGAAAGCAATGTATTCAAGAAATATAATTTTAATTTTTTTTTTAAGTCTCGATAGTTTCCCATCTATTATAAAATTTAGTTGCGCCATAGAAAAATGTACCAGTTATTGAGTTTAAAAATGTATTATTTATAATTCTTTTATTGTAGTTTCAAAGTTTTTCTTCAATGTCTAAAGCTAATCTTTTACTTAACATTGTGCAGTAACATCATTTCATTTTTGTATAGTGTTTTTTAGTACTTCTCTTTTTTACATTTTAAATACCGTAATTTAAAATATATTAGTTTATTATTTGTTGACTAAATATATCTGCGAAAGATTACTTGGTTTTTTATTTCCTTTACTGATTCATAGCATTATGATTTATAGATTTATAGCGAGTAATCAAGTTTGGATGAAATACCGTGTTATTTTATTTTATTTTTTGACATAAAGAGATTGACATGGCTAATGCAAATTTGTATTTGTCATTTCGATGGAACAAGTGAGTTATTGCAGAAGTGGACGCAACTGGATAGGTCAGCAGTGTAAAAGGTAAACCAAATTGGTACTCAGGCCACACTAGCTTATCATAGCACATTTTAGCCTTGGGGCGCTCCCATGTACAGGCGGCTCCAGAGGGTAGGCCAGGTATATCCAGTCCCTTACCCAAAGAACGATTCCCGGAGTCGGCCCCTGCTCCCATAACTTTATCAAAGAGAGATATGAGACATCAGTCCACTCTCTAGTGGCCTTGTTTTCCACAAGTACGACTGTACCCAAGCAATATTGCATTATCCAGATAACCAAGTATCTTAATTAAGTAAAGGAATAAAGCATAGTTTATGGAATCAAACACAAGAATAGTCAAGCATGACCACAGCTCCACCTGTCCTGATCCCTCTCAAACGCAAACCAACCAATGCAATCATATTTAATAGTAAGGTGCAATAATAATAGTTTCTTCTACACACAGACTGCAGTTTTGAAGCCGCAATAGAAGTCCACTAAAGGATTTTTTTCATAGAATACTTCTATTACAGTTGGTACCACGGCCACCTTTTAACTCCAGGCCTTCGAAGTTGCAAGGCAACGTCACAAGTAGTGTTTAAACAACTGTTATCATCTGGCGCTAAACAACACTACTTGCGATATTGTTAATTCTACCAGGCCATGGCCTGGAGTTTTTTTCAAATTTCAGTCGTTTTCGTTTAGTTTGTTTGTCCCCTTGTTCGCCCAGTCCATCCATCCATGTCGTTGAATTATTGAAGTCAGAACCTGAAGAAGTCGTCTGTTAGCGAATTTCCCTATTTAGGAAAGTAGCTATTACCGGGTAGGTTTCATTAGACATCCTATCTATATGGACCAGTTGATGCCAATTTTTTATTAAAAAAAGAACGTAGTTGTGTGAGCCAGTCACAGAATGTGCTAGTGTCTGAATTTATATTTTATACCTTATTCTTGGTTTTGGACCAGGTTGATGGATCATAACAGTTGCTATAGCTCACCATAAGTCATTCCCTAAGGTTGACTTGGTAACAAATTTGTGTATGCGACAGAATACGGTAATTTAGATCAGCGCAGTCTTTAGGTGGCTCACATCAACTACAACAATTTTGATAAAAAAAAAGCTGGCTACAAATTTAACATGGGGATGGAATGTCTAGTTGTTTCTTGGTAACACCAGGACCTAGGCCCGGGACCGATTTATTTTTCATTTTGATGTCTCTAGAAGCCCAAAACACAATTCGTTCAAATATATATCGTATAAATAAATATATATCGTTGTCCATGAACGCGATAACTTGAGTAATTTTTGTCCGATTTTGATTATATTTGGTTTAAAGGTTGAAGAGCAGGCGGGATAAACTTTAGCGAACCAATATGATCGGACCAATTTTTGACCCCCTAAACACAAAATTTCCCAATTTCTCTCCAGGACTTTTTAAAAAGCTTAAAAAACAAATAATTTAGTATATCAAAGTGTTTTTGTACTATTATTGGTTATAATGGTCACAATTTGGCCACAAAACTTATTTTTATATTTCATTGAACCTCAGATTATGTCTTATATTTTTTAGGTATTCATTGAATGTGTGACGCATACAATTGTATGAAAACAACTTGACTTGTCCATGCATGTAAAAATGACAAATAAACGTCTTATGTCTTATTTCTTATACAGAAAAATCGAAAAAAATATTATTTTAAAATTCCTTCTTCATTCTTATAGAGAATATTGTAAAATGTTGTAGTTTGCTTTTTTTATGGATATATATTGATCAAACTTGGTAATTTATTTATTTTATACTAAGTTAAATATTAATATTTTACAAAAAAACGCACTTTTTTACCCCCCCCCCTGTAGCAGCAAGCCTATAAACCTAATGTTAATTAAATACTGAATAATGTTAATTGTTAATTGAAAATAAATTCAGGCAACTGGAAATTCGCTTAGTCGGCAGGTTTGCTGTGGCGGGGGTATTTTTCTTTTTTTGAGTAATGACCACTGAGCAGTGGTAATGACGCTCATGTTCATTTCATAATATTTTGCCAACTGGTTATTTTGTCTGGGTTTTAAGTCAAACAAGTTTTTTTATTTTTTTTTTATTTATTTACTTTACAATCTGTTCTATTATATATTGAACAATAAGTAAATACTATGTAATACGAAAAATTGACTTTGGAACATTAAAAATAGCTGTTAAGCACTCTCAACAACAAATTTTTCAATAAAAACACTTTACAAAAATCTGTAGGGCAGGTCGAGAATTGATGGCCTCTTAAGTCTGTAAATTGTATCCACGTTGTTTAATAAGTTAAGAGCTAAATGATTTTGATGAGATTCCAATTTCGTAATATATCGTTCACTTATGGTCATGATTGTTGAGTACGCCAAATTGTTGAGTACACTTCCCTCAATATGTAAAAAAAAGTTACACTGATTTGAGTGTCGGGTTTGGGGGGGAGGGAGGAAAAATGGGGTGAAAATAGGACTTTTTTGCTATTTTACAAATATCTCGAAAACGGTGAGTTTTTCTTAAAACATAATCAATTACAAAAATAATCTACATTAAATTTCGAACATAATAATACCATACAATACCTATCTACTATGAACGGTTCAGGTAATATTGAGGGGTAAATGTGATTTTTTCTTAAAATTTCAAAAAAAAAGTTGTTTTTTATCTGGAGGAAACCCATGGACAACCATAAAAAAAGTTTCTAACAAGTGCCAAATTGTTCAATAAACCTCCCTTAATATGTGTAAAAATGTTACACTGATTTGAATGTCGGATTTGGGATGGAGGGTTAAAATAAAAGGGGGGGAATGGGCATTTTTTTGCTATTTTACCAATATCTCGAAAACGGTGCGTTTTTCTTAAAACATAATGAATTACAAAAATAATCTACATTAAATTTCGAACATAATGATACCATACAATACCTATCTACTATGAACGGTTCAGGCAATATTGAGGGGTAAATGTGATTTTTTCTTAAAATTAAAAAAAAGTTGTTTTTTATCTGGAGGAAACCCATGGACAAAAAGAAGTTTCTAACAAGTGCCAAATTGTTCAATAAACCTCCCTTAATATGTGTAAAAAAGTTACACTGATTTGCGTGCCGGTCTTGGGTAGGAGGGTGTGAAAACGGGGTTGGGAATTTTATTCATAAGTAATTTTGTAAATTTTGTTAAGTAACACTTTTTATTTTCCATTTTAACACAAATATAACTACAATATAACTAAATATGACTTACCTACCTAAAAAAGACAAACCTACCTCTGAGATACGGGAACACGGTGAACTTTCTACCGTTTGAATTCTCAAGAAGATCGAATAAAAAATAACTGAAGTTACAACGATTTTTAGTTGTAAAATTATTGTGATCAAGGCTACACTATTCAGGGTTGCCTCATTTTACAAATAAAAATCGTGATATTTATTTATTTTTTATTATTTTAAAAGCTAAATAAAAGTGTTACAGACATTTTTTCATAAAATTAGCCATTTCTAGCAATTTCAATTTTAAAAAATTAAATGGCCGCCATTTTAAAATTTTTATTGGATTAGATAATTTTTTTCTAACGTGGGTCTATTTTATCTCAACATACATACCAAGTTTGTTAATGATCGGCTAAAAAATTCAGAGATGAAATAATGTTTTTGTGAAAAAAACAAAATGGCAAATATTCGGTTAACGAAGCGATTTTGGAAAAAATATTCTTGATTTTCTTTTTTTTTTCACCCATAGAACCATTTCCTGGGGTTTGGCTGGTTACTTACAGGACTCCCTGTATACAGGATGTCTCACCTAAAGTGAACCAATAGCTAACTTTTTTATCATGAGTTATACAGTTGACTTCTTATGGGACACTCCCCTTTTTTTAGATGATTTGGAATGGTTCCCAATTTTTAAAATATGTTCGCCATTTTCCAATATGGCCAACTAATTTGTTGTTTCTTATAGAACACCCTGTAGTTAATGATTGTTTTAGAATATAAATCCAATTTAAAAACAATTTTAATTTGACATTTTCTCTTAAAAGCTACTCGTTTAGGAGTTACAGCATGTTACACTTATGGAAAAAAGGCTTGTTGTGTACATTCCGCATCCTGTAGCTCATAAACGAGTAAGTTAATAGAGAAAATGCAAAGAACAAAACTTTTTTATGGGTATCCATGGGTTTCCTGCATTTAAAAAACAACTTTTTAGAATCACATTTACCCCTCAATATCTCCTAACACGTTCATGGTAGATAGGTATTGTATGGTATCATTATGTTCGAAATTTAATGTAGATTATCTTTGTAGTTCATTATATTTTAAGAAAAACGCACCGTTTTCGAGATATTTGTAAAATAGCAAAAAAATGCCCACTCCCCCCCCCTTTTATTTTAACCCTCCATCCCAAATCCGACATTCAAATCAGTGTAACTTTTTTACACATATTAAAGAAGGTTTATTGAACAATTTGGCACTTGTAAGAACCTTTTTTATGGTTGTCCATGGGTTTCCTCCAGATAAAAAACAACTTTTTTTAGAATTTTAAGAAAAAATCACATTTACCCCTCAATATTACCTGAACCGTTCATAGTAGATAGGTATTGTATGGTATCATTTTGTTCGAAATTTAATGTAGATTATTTTTTTAATTCATTATATTTTAAGAAAAACGCACCGTTTTTGAGACATTTGTAAAATAGCAAAAAAAAGTCCCATCCCCCCCCCTTTTATTTTAACCCTCCTTCCCAAATCCGACACTCAAATCCGTGTAACTTTTTTATACATATTAAGGGAGGTTTATTGAACAATTTGGCACTCATTAGAAACTTTTTTTTGGGTGTCCATGGGTTTCCTCCATTTAAAAAACAACTTTTTTAGAATTTTAAGAAACAAATCACATTTACCCCTCAATATTACCTGAACCGTTCATAGTAGATAGGTATTGTATGGTATCATTTTGTTCGAAATTTAATGTAAATTATTTTTGTAATTGATTATGTTTTAAGAAAAACGCGCCGTTTTTGAGGTATTTGTGAAAAAGTAAAAAAAGTCATATTTTCACCCCATTTTCACCCCCTCCCCCCCAAACCCGACACTCAAATCAGTGTAACTTTTTTTTACATATTGAGGGAAGTGTATTCAACAATTTGGCACTGGTTTGAAACTGTTTTTTTGGATGTCCCGGTTTGCTCTTTTTTTAAGCTAATTGCACTGTACTATATGTCCAGATTGGTTTCAATATAGTTTTATATAGCAATAATTTATTTTCTACAGTAGACTAAGTTTTGATTTTCTTCCGATGATTTAAATAAGTCAAACAAGTTGGCTTCATGATTGTAATAAATCAAGCCAGCCAACCCTTTGGCGTTTGAAAGGTTAAAAAAAGAAAACAAGTTGTGTTTCGTTTTGGTTTTGACGGTTTTGACATTGGGTGGGATTGGGATTGGATTTAGTTGGATGGATACGTTATTTTGAGATGTGGCTTTTTCGATATTAAATGGTGTGTTCTTGTGTTGTGGTGGTTACTTTAGGGGCTATAAAATAAAACTGTTCATCTTAATTTCCTTATTAGTTTAATAGTTTAGGTGGGTAGTGTATAAAATAAAAACAATCTGCAGAGTGTATTTATAGACTGTAAGGTAGGTAGCCTATGTGAGGAACTATATTAAACTCATTTAGGCCTTATTTACTTCCCAGGTATAAGAGTTTCAGAGATCTCCAGATCCAGATACAACAAATCCATTTATACCGAGCTAGGCCAATGCTAGATTTTTAATTTTTGCTGCTTGGTTAGAAATTTTCAGGTTAAGATAGGCCTCCTATGCTAGGCCTAGGCCAGCTGCTTCACTTTAGGTCTAAGGCCTGAAAATCCTCATCAAAAGTAGACTAGCCTAAGGGTTTTAAAATAAATCCCTAAGACCATGGACCTACAATGTTGTTCTAATTATCCATAGCCTAAGCTATAAAGTTACTAGCCTAGGCTAGGTAATTTGAAGGATGGCTTGTTATAGAGAGTTTATACAAAGGAAACATTAATGTATTAATGTTGTGTGTCATTATCATTATCTCTAGCCTTTGTGTCATTATCATAAACTAAACCAAACTAACAATAAAAGGTTTAAATTACCTGTATCAGTCAAATGATCCTGTTTTGTAGTTAGTTGACTACATACAGCTGTTTCGTCTTAATATTAACTCATCTTCAGGTCAAAATGTTGCATTGATTATTCCATGGAATGGTCTTCATAAGGTTTAAAGTTCCCAAAAATAACACATAAGGGCTGCACTTTACTTTGGGTCCTACACTCATTCGAACAAAATTATCGATCGATATATCGATTATTCGATATATCGTTTGGTTAGTTAGGTAAGGTTAACCTAACCTAACTAACCAAACAATATATGGAATGAAACAATCGAATAGGCCTAGTCGATATTTTCATTCAGTTGTTTGTGTAGGACCTAAAGTAAAGTGCAGCCCACATAAGTTTACACGTACGTTATTTTTGTGAACGTTAAACCTTATGACGACCATTCCATGGAATAATCAATGCAACATTTTGACCTGAAGATGTGTTAGTTTTTAGACGAAACAGCTGTACCGGTAGTCAACTAACTACAAAACAGGACCACTTGACGGATACAGGTAATTTCAACCTTTTATTGTTCAGTGATCCAGAGGCTATACCATTAAAATAAGATCCAAACTAACCCAACCGAGCCTATGTTTATAGGCCCATGCCTAAGTACAGTGAAAGGGGTGGCAGGAGTCCCTTATCTTGAATGCCCTAGAAACCCTTAACCCTCCAAGTGTCCATAGTTTAGGCCTTAATGTCCACCTATTTTTGGCGCATTTGCAAGGTTTTATTAAAACGGATCTGAGAAGCTTAAAACAATGTTAATTCTAATGTTCTATATACCATTTTGTTTGGAAAATCATGGGCTTCAATATTATATATAAAACATAAGGAACATTAAAAAAAAAAAAAAAATTTTAGGTTAAAAAAAATATAATTTCGAAAATTTTCCAAAAAAAATAAGTTCGCGCTCAATGAAATTGTATAAATTATAGGCCTATAAATATTTGAAAATAGCCACTTTGTTCTAAATTTTATGAGGATTACAAATATATAATAATATAAGGAAGTAGATTTGCAAATAAATAAGTTATGGGCAAAAAACAGATTTCAGTACATAGCGTTTAGCTAAGAATGCATAGCCTAACCATAGCTAGGAATCTGGCTGATAATTTACATCAATATCACTACCTACTTCTTCAGGATCATCAACCAGCACTTCAAAACCACTTAAATCTTCTTATAATGCAACACGTATATCACTACTTTTGATTTTTAACACTAAAACAATGATAAACGTAATAAAACACATCAGTCATCGGTCGGAGGGTAACCTAGCTGTTTACAAATACACGCACGTCAGCTGTCTGCTACATATTACGATCGGCTCAGATAACGTACAGCGCTGAGACAGACCTCTGGAGAAAGCTTAGAATGAAACGGAAAGAACGATACCTAACTCGATCCAGTTCAATCCGATTCAGTCAGTTATAGAGCCTTCGCCGTAAACGATGTCTGCTTGTCGAAAAATCGACAAGTAACACTACACAAAGTGTGCTGCTTGTCGAATTTTCGTCAAGTAACACTGGGAAGGTTAAAAATAAATAGTACCTAAGTTAATTCTAGTCTAAATCATCATCTACATCGAAAATAAAATAGGAATAGTTTCATCAATATTTAGCCCTGCCTAACTTACATTGAATTAAAATGTTAATCCGATATAGTAGACCTAGCTTCCCTGCAAAACTGTACTCCTTGGGTTAAAACAGCAAGGTTTTGGAACCAAAAATAACTTTATGCATTTATCAATTAATTAATAGGTAAGTAGGCTACATGGGACACAGTTTTTTTATCTATGTAATTGGTGTGACTTTTGTTAAATGTAGTTTTAGATGGGGCCGTCACCAGCTAAACCAGGACCAGACAAGTGTTCTGGCCCTTCAGATAACGTGTACTATGGAGTGTTTCTACCGCCGGATGTACAGCCTTCAAATGAAGGTAAAGTCATCTCAGTCACACCTTTAGGAAGTGCGTTCAGGATGGGTTAGGTGTTGTATCTTTTTACCTTTATTTACCCTGTGATATTAGTTTGCATGAGTTAAATCTGCTTATAATCGACTATACTGTCTTACCGTATTTGATCTTTCAAATACTTGTTGATCATTAAGTAACTTTTAAAATACCCAGACACTTAAGTTTTGACATTTGTTTAGACTCCTGTTGCCATACACTTGATACAACATAGCGTATAAACAACACATTTAGCCTACTTAGAAATAACACATTAGGCTTGTAAAGATTTTGTTGTTTAGTTGTAAAATATTGGACTTCATCCTTCCCAACCTCAAACTTGTGAAAGAAAGTAGAAAGGCCTATTAAGCGCTATATATATATACACTTTTTGTCTTTGTTTTATTTGCCAAAAAATATTGACTTCACGTTGTACAAGTTTGACTGAACTAAATGTAATAAACCCGGGGAGATATATAAATTTATAACTGCAAGAAACTATCCAAATTAGGCCTACTACAATTCATACTGAAATAAATTAGTACTCATACTAATTCTTATTGTTTCAACAGTAGTTGAACCTTCTTAGTCATGAGTCTCCATTGTTAACTTGTTTCTCAGATCCGGAAGGCTCGGTGGTGTTCAAGGACAAGTCAGAGGCTCTGAAGCTCGTTAAGAAGTACAAGAAGGCAAGATTCAAGGCGTTCCGTACGCTCACTGATGCGATGCAGTTTGCTGCGTGTGGCCTCGAGACTGCAACGGCATGTCCCACCTCGCCTGTTGCCGGGGAGAAGCCCAGTCCCTTCCGAGGGCCCAAGCCACAAGACATGGTGCGTCTGAGGAAGGCCATCGAGGCGGGAGATCTCGAGTGGGTGAAGAAGACTGTGTGGGAAAATCCTAGATATTTAGTCAGCAGCGGCGACACACCGTCTATCTTACAGGTATTGTGATTGTGTTTAGGGTATTAAATATGAGTTTTTGGGTAAAAAGAAAACTGAATCGTCAAATTGATGTTTTTAATGACAAAATGGCTTCAATATCAAACCATTTAAAAAACTAGATATTTATTCTGCAGCGGAAAAAACAGCCGTGTCTTTTGTCAGGGTTGTTTTTAATGATGAACAGCTGGCTTCAATATAAAACTATTTAAAAAATCTCACAGGTAGTCGTCAGACTTTTGGTCTAGTAGTAAAATCATCCAGCTAGCTAGCTATAAATGTAATCAAACATCTTGGATACTATTTTTTAAATATATTTTTACTGTTATAGTAGTCACAAGACCAATATTTACTGTTATTTTTCCATTTTATTCTTTCAGTTTTATTTGTATTTCTCTGGCATATTGCAAATGTCATTGTAAGGGTTTTAACTTCTAAATATAGTTTCAAACTTTCTTTGGTAGGTAGCTTTGAGAACTATTAGAATCTTATTCTGGAAGCCTATAACTAAAAAAGAAAATGTCAATGATGCTTTTTAACTATTTTTAAGGAATAATTCCAATTACCATTTTTAACTAATGCTTGTAGTTATGCTTATTGTGATTTCTATGAGAAAATGGTGTAGAGGAGGGATTTTAGGTCCCGTCCCAGCGATCCGTTACTGATACCGTTATGGTAACTCAACTTAAGAAATCAAGAGATGAAAGCAATCAATAGGTCAATAGCTTCAATGAATTTGCAATAACTAATATCCTCTTCGTAATACAAAACTAAGTAATAAAAAACTTCTGTTATCATTTTATTTAGATACAAGAGGTTAGAAGATCATCCTCTCTTTGATAGTAGTTAAAATTGAGCGCTTCAATTTGAATTTTTTTTTTTTCATTAGTTTTGACTTTCTCCTCCTATACATAGTAGTAATATGGAAAGAGTAGCTTATTGTTTTTTTCTAAATGTTTGAGTTTTTTTAGGTGGATATCCGTTTAGGGCCCCCAACCCAAAAAGTTGTTTTGTGATGTCTGTGTGTATGTCTGTTTTTGATGAAATTGGATACATTGTACCTTCAGAAGTTTTAAAACATTTTATTTTTATTTTTAATGGTCTGATGTTTCCATATCTTTATTTACACAACTAAATCATGCGGCATCGCCTTCAGCTATATTTTAAGTAGCAGAAAATAGAACAACACGCAAAATAATAATTAATTTTAAAAAAACCTTACAAAAACTCAACACGAGAAAAACCATGCAATTTAGTTTATCAAAAGTCCCTTTAACAGAAAAACTGGCTGAAATCCCAATGCTGTAAAAAATTAATTTCTAAAGTAATAAACAATTATAATTTTTTTAAATTTTCTCCTTAAAATCTCATAGAAGCTATTGTTTTTCTCATAAAGGTAGTAGGATGTTCAATTGTATTTTGTAATGCCAAAAAATGAGAGAAACTCATTTTTCTTTACTGTTTGTTTCAATTCAACTGGAAATCAACAACCTATTCAATTAGTCAGTACAACAATTTTGGTAAAATTGTAAGTTATGTGGTTTTAGTTTGGCCTATCTCATATCCAATAGAATTTAAATTCAATAAAATATTAAAGACTAAATAAAGAAACATAATAATCAATACCAATAATGGCAATAATAGTGGTCGACTCCTTTCTTAAAGCAATTATTTATTTTTCCAACAATGCTTAAAAACAGTCTGGGTCGGTAGATGGTTTTTAAAAACCCAGGAAATTTCTGTATTGAACTTTTTTGGTTACCAATAAAAAAACCTAAAACATACTAACCCACGGTATGTACCCAGTATCAGACAACATCCATAATATCAAAATACTGCTTGATTTCTGAAGTTTATAAAAAAATTCAACAATTCTGTACATAAGTAGGAAACTAGGTACTCATAATTAATTAACAGTTTTTATTTACATTTACAGCTAGTAGGCTACACAAATAATATGCAAGAAGATTGTGGAATGAAACGGAACAACAAAGAATCTGTTATCACCCGTCTGCCAACTATCTATTGTTTCTATTTAGAACTCATTTCACTGGCTAAGGGCCAATATTGTTTATTTCAGCTAAAACTGTAATATATTTTAATTTTTTGTCATTAAAATATTCATCCGATTGCTAGTTACGCACACTGATGAGAGATTGAAAAGAGATTGATAAAGTTAGTAGGCCTATATGTATATGTTTTATGAATTAAATTTGACGAATTTGATGAAACTAAACTTCAAGTGGTGTTTCTTGCAGTGAAATATCAAAGAGTCAATTATCACAAGTTTTAGTCTTAGTTTATGCTTTGTTCTTTCACCGTATGACACATGTGCTCCTTTGCCTCCGTCTTTGTGTAGATCCAAACCACGTATTTACATTCTTGTCACTAAAAACTGTTTCTATGCTTAACACCTGCAGCACAGTAAACATACCAGTTGTCTAAAAATACAGGCCGAACATTCATCAGTCTTGTTTTCACGGACTTATATGCAATGTTTTTTTTTCCAATTTGTACATTTTTTATGCCAAAAGTGTTTAGACTGAACTCGCACATTTTGAAAAGTTAGGCTGTAAGCATTGCCTATTTTGGATACTGAAGTAGACATATCATCTTTATGGACCAGCTGTCACAATTTTTTAATAATAAAATAACATTGTAAGCCAGTCACAGAATGCGCTAGTATCTAAAATTGTATTTTCTACCTCATTTTTGTTGCTGACCATTTCGATGGGTCATAACAGTTGCTATAGCTCACAATAAGTCATTCCATTAGTTTAAGTTGGTAAAAAAGCTTGTGCATTTGAAAGAAATTAGTAATTTAGATCAGCGTAATCTGTCAGTGGCTCACATCAACCGACAATGTTGATTAAAAACTGACGACAACTTTGAAATGGGGAAACTAATCTATTTACATTTTACTAAAGACACACTTTATTGAGTTCCCTGTAGCAACAAACATACAAGTACTAGCTAAAAATATATCTGACATTTTAAAAGAAATGTTTTTGTGAAAATCCAATTACGCAAATGAAATTCACTTGGTCACCAGGTTTGCTGCGGTGAGGGTATAGTTATAATAGAGTTTACAAAATTAAGCTTTCAAAACTTAATAAATTTTCTTTGTCTTATAACAACAGCTACAATATTACTGTTCTACGTAAAATTGTAGCTACTTAAAAAAATACTGTAGACCTAAAAGGTATGTTTTTGCAGGAGGGTCCGAGATATAACGCTCTGCACATCGCAGCGAAGGCACGCAACGCAGCAATCTGCGCTTTTATCTTGGAGACAGTGTCCAATCCCGAGTTCATCAAACACCTCTACGGAGACACACTGGACGCTGAACAGAGATGCTCGGTGCTGTTGGATTTGTATCTCAACACCCCAGAACACAAGGTGATTGTGTAATGTGAACCTTGAGTTTTCAATATAGTCATAGACATAGTCAAGAGTCTATCTATTAATAGGCAAGCATGTTTCTTGAAAAACTTTTTTCAGCTCGTGTGCATCACAGGGAAAATGTACGCATACTGTTAGAAAGAGTTTTTTCCTGTAGATGTGCAGAATCCCTTTGTAAATCTTTATAAGTCTGTGAATTACATATTTTTGGTCGAGTTGTCTACCACTGGAAGACCTCTAGTCTTTATTAGAACCTAGATACATAGTTGTACATGAATGCTATAGTGTCAATTAAAGTTAAACTAATGTTTCAAATAAGATATTTAACCATTTTTAATTCTTCTAAAGAATATGAGGAAAGGTCTATTAAATATTCCTTACTAGCCTACTTAAAAAAATTGTTTTTTGTTACATTTTAATTGTTAAAGGGGTGAATTTAAAAAACTTCATGTTCTTTATTGACAGTTTTTTTTTATAAGAGCTCTAATTTATGATTTTTGATTACTAAGTACTTTTTGTCTTGTGTGAAATTTTGTTCACCTTTCTATGCCAGTGGGATGGGAAAAATTCTATGCTTCCATGGGAAAGCAGTCTTGGGAAAGCAGTCTTGGGAAAGCAGTCTAAAGCCATTCAAGTTTTGTGGATTTTCTTTGTGTAACATAATTAATTTCTCTCTCCTTTTATTTTGACTTGTTTCATTTACCTTTTCCTTTTGTGTGCATTAAATAAACCCTTTTTAATTGACTCTAAATTCTGTGTACCTACTGTGAGAAATTTAACCCGTCCCTCCCTCACTGAAGTCCAAGACGCTAATAAGCTTCAAGCAATGTATTCCAGAAACATAGAAACAATGATGATGAGACATTGTAAGATTTAAGGTTATATTCTTGAATTAAAATTTTTTGTGATGTACATAAAACTGCCAACATATTTCCAGTAGCAAAACATGTTTTACCCGACCATTGTATTTAACCCCGGTAAATATTAAATCGTAATGTATTCCTGTGTTGCAGGCAATGAACGAGACGCCACTTCACTTTGCCTCCAAGTTCGGTGCGGCCAGTGTCGTACAAGTGTTGGTGGCGTACGGCCAATGTGATAGAACTGCCGTCAACAAGTTGAATCACACCGCCAAAGATGTGAGTAGCATCCGAATTTTTATCTTGTGTGGTAATTTTTTGTCAATTTCTGATGTCACACGGAACCTGTAGGGTAATGGAATATGGTACCAAAAATACTAAATTTAATCTGCAAGCTAGAAAACATGTGGTGAGTCGGTGGCTCAGTCGGTAGCGTCGTGGACTTTTCGGGCCCAAGGCAGTAGTGTCGTGGGTTCGGATCCTGGTCACTGCCACTAACTTTTATCAGTACAGTCCACCTTTGTACTGTACCGGCTCACCTCTTGCTTTGCTGGATACGTTCCACGCACAGATCTGTAGTCTATGTGGACGGGCAAATGCAAGGTTAAAAGAGGCCGCCAACCTCTTTAAAAAAAAAAAAATGTCAACTGATAAAGCATTATTGTAAATCTACTGTTGAGCATTCATCTTAACCAGTTTATGCGTCACTTTACAGAATGAACAATATTAGCAAATTGACATACTTTTTCCAACCCTTGTAGCTTCTCCTCCCCACATAGATTGACAACAACAACAACCCTTATCATGGACAAGTGGTGGGAGCAACTATGATATATAATCAGGAAAATCACATTGCAATAACTTTTGAACTGTATCTTTTACAGTATTGAAGGTTTTACTATTTTGTTTAGAGTTTAAAGGACCATAACATACTCAATTTTTTTCATAATTGTTTTAGCAGTTTTTGTGATCGTTATTTTTTCTGTTTATGGGAAAATTGTCTTTAAAAATAAATATTACAAAAGAAATTTAAAATAATGCCTGAAGATATTAATGGTACCAATGGTACTACCAATGAGTGAGTCGGTGGCTCAGTCGGTAGCGTCGCGGACTTCGGGCCCAAGGCAGCGATGTCGTGGGTTCGGATCCTGGTCACTGCCGATAACATTTTATCAGTACAGTTCACCTTTGTACTGTACCGGCTCACTCCTTGCTTTGCTGTAAACGATCCACGCACGGGCGCTTAGTCTATGTGGACTAACAAATGCAAGGTTAAAAGAGGCCGCCAACCTCTTAAAAAAAAAAAAAAAAAAATGTACCATATTTTGTCAAAATTGACCCACAGTTGTAGGCTGCAGCTCTGTACACATTAACACACAGAAACCACTTTGAAAATTATTTTTTTTGTGTTCAGGATCGACCCAAAATAGATATTTCCACCCAAAACTAAAACTCAAAGATTTTGACCTAATTTTGAATTACCTCACTATCTCCCTACAAATTGTTGTAGGCCTAAAACATATATCACTTGTTCATTCAAGATCAAATAAACTTGTTAACCTTGTAGTGGACGACGCTAAGTTTTCCAAACCAATCATTAAAGGTAACCATTTAACTAGGCGAAGAAAAACTGTCCAACGTGGGGTTGTAGAAACGTTCAAGAACTCTACAGTCAACAAAAAAAGCATAGTAACATTTTATGGACCAATAATTTACTGTGTGTGTGTATAGGTTGTCTGCAGCAGAATGCCAGACGCGGACCCCAGTTTGAAGGAAGAGATACTAGCCATGCTGGAAGAACAGTTTTACGTTCCTGTCCTAAGATCTCCGGATCACTCTGTCGAGGCTACGGTTGGCAAGCCCTTCTCCCCTTCTAGTCCCCTACAAGTTAGTGTGCAGTTCTTAAGTTTGTAAAATTGTATATACGAAAAGCTACAATGTCTTTTTTAAATTGAGATAAGGTTTTTTAGTTAGTAGTTTGTTAAATTTGCAGTATTATTATCAGTATGTCTGGCAATATACATAGGGGTCTGAATGTATTTTTAAATATAGAATAAATATTAATATTAACAATGGTGAGTTAGTTAGCTTAGAGGTTAGGGTCTCAAACTATGGTGCCTGGGAGATGCATTTGATTTCCAGAATAACCACAAAACCTCAACAATTTTATGAGTTTGGTTTGCTTCCTCTGAATGTTATTGTTAATATACAAAATGAAACTGACGGACAATACCACAAAAAAAAATCAAAAACGTTCATAAGAAAATTATATTATTATGCTCATCATAATGAATTTTGGATCCAAGTATTGTAGTGATAATTTCAAGGTGTTCTCATAACAAACTCTTAACTGACAGCCAACATGGCTTTCGGAAGAATAAATCCACATCCTCAGCTATAACAGCACTAATTGAGTACGTCCTAGACCAGATAGAAAACGAACAATACATTTCCGCCATCTTCCTTGATTACAGTAAGGCTTTTGACTGCCTGGGCCACGACCTGATATGCAAGAAACTTGAAAGACTCGGTATAAGAAACTCTGCGCTAGAATGGTTCAAAAGCTACCTAACGGGACGTTCACAAGTTGTGGAACTGAAAAACTCATCAAATGAAGTCACAGAAAGTTTCAAATCTTCAAAAAGCAAGCTGACGAGAGGAGTTCCACAAGGCTCTGTATTAGACCCGATTCTATTCATCTTATTGACTAATGACTTCCCCAAACAAATTGAGAGTGAAAATGCTGTTGCAATCATGTATGCAGATGACACAACCATTTTGATCAAGGACAACACAGCCCAAAACCTTTACCTTAATTCAAAATCGATCCTAAATAAAGCTATCCTCTACTCAAAGAACAATGACTTAGCAATAAACCCCACAAAAACTACAACTCTGAATTTCAGTAAGAAAAAAGACATAGGGGCGGTTCACGAGCTCGGGACTTCATAGTCCGCGACCAGACGCTGGTCCCGGACTATATAAGCGACGACCAAAAAATGGGTTCACGAGTCAGAGCCTAATGATGTGAAAGCCGGGCCCATTGTAGGTCGAGACCAAATCCGTAGCGGAGCCTAATGACAGGGATTCGCAGGGAATTTCTGTTGGGACGTTGGTAACAACCAGTAACAACAGTCTGGAAACACATGTGAAGCCACTGCTGTTGACCATACAATAGGATGATCGTGAAAAAGGGCTGAACCAAAACGTCCAAAACGATTATTTTTCTCGTATTTCATTGTCCCAATGCTCGCCTATGATAATCTATCTAAGTTTATTGATTTATAAACACAACAATCCACGTTTGTATGAAATCAGAAAATGGAAGTCTTTAGTGAAATATATTTTTCTGTGTGCATTATTATAATTAAATTAAGATGCATGACATAAAATAACCGGGTAGGCCTATTTATAACCGGATGAATGCCTATTTTGCATAAATGCCCGATAATTAGGGATGGTGATTTTTGGATAGGATAATTTTAACTAAACTTATTTAAATGGTACAATCATTGAAACTAAAATGTATTTAGAGGTACTGATTATTAGATATAAAAATCGTATGTGTGTGCTGGATTTAATCGTGGCTGTAAACAAAGAATATTCTTTCCGTTATTCTTCCACTCTATAATAATCTAACTGTAAAATGTTGAAAATAATATTCTGCAATTAGCTTGTAATATTATTTATGTTAACAGCTATGGTTTTTAATTTACATTTTGTGTTGTTGCGATTTTAAAAATCAGTTTCATTACAATGCGTTTATATTTACTAGGTAGGAAGGATTTACTAGTATTATTGTTCAATCTCCTAACAGACTGTTTGTAAATTAACATATGATTGAATTTATATTTGTAAAAACACAAACAAAAACAGTAGGTATTGTATTTTTTAAAGTTTTACAAGCAAGTCATAAGTTAAATAAAGTTTCATTTTTTATATGATTTCATGCAGTTTTTTAATACAAACAATGTTGGACACTCGACATTGTACATTTTGGTCCTTCGAGCCGGATAAAACCACGACCTTAAGGTAAATTTAAATTACTTACAAACTTTGCAATATTTATTCAGTTGTACATTCATTCAAGTTTTATTGAACATTAACAAGCCATGCCAAAGCAAGATCAGTTACAACAATTAGTGAAAGCTAGAAGTAATATTAAGGCTAAACTTACAAGATGTAAAAACTTTTTTGATAAATGTTTAGGAAGTCAGCATGTAAAGGAATTACAACTTAGGCTACAAAAGGTAGAAGGAAGTTGGGTAGAATTTGAAAATGTGCAATCTAAGATTGAAGATATTGATTCAGATTCAGAATTGAATCATGAAGCTGAAAGGGATGAGTTTGAACAGCAATATTTTGTGCTTTGTGCAGAAATAGCTAACTTTATTGAACAACACACGTGTCCACCACCACAAAATGACGTAGTTGTTGTTAATCACAATTCTAATTCAAATAACAGTACACAGTCCTCAGACTCGTCCATTTCAGTTCGACTACCAACCATAAATCTACCAAGCTTTTCTGGGAAGTTTGATGAATGGATGCTCTTCTTTGATTCCTTTTCAGCATTAATTGACAAAAATGAAAGTTTAAATGATGTCCAAAAGTTGCATTACCTAAAAGCTGCACTCACTGGTGATGCAGCTAATGTAATAAAGAACTTAGAGCTATTAGCTTCTAACTACAACGTAGCTTTAAGCTTACTTAAAGATCAGTTCCAAAACATTAGGCTTATCGTACAGCAACATGTAAGATCACTCTTTGAGCTTTCTCTCGTACAAAGGGACAACCCAACAAGCTTAAGGCACCTACTAAATAGCACTCTAACTCACATCAGGGCTTTAGAAGGGTTACAGATAAAGATTAATGAAAATGATCCATTCATTGTCCATCTCATAACTACAAAGCTTGACACATCCACACATAAGGAGTGGGAACTTTCAACCCTACCAAATGAACTTCCTACTTTAAAGGAACTTACAGACTTTTTACAAAAAAGATGTCAAATGTTAGAAAACGTCAACCACAGCATTGTTCACACTAACTCAACGTCATTTCAACTCCATAACAAACCTGCCCATCCAAGACAACACTTGGCTCATCCTCATAAATCAAACACGAAAACATATGTTTCTGTCAAAGAATCCATCTGCCTCATATGCGATGGAAACCATCCTGTGTATCAATGCAGCGAACTTATTAAGGCTTCTCATGAAGAACGATTAAGCAAATTGACAGCAGCAAAACTCTGTTTTAATTGCTTAAAACCGGGCCATCGCGTAGAACATTGCAATTCTAGAGGATGTAAGCATTGTAATAAGAAACACAACACTGCACTTCATTACAACACATCAGACCCAAGGCTTAAATCATTACAACCAAAGAAAACTGCTACATTTAACAACAAGCAGGGAAGTAGTGATGACGCATTAAATACCAGTACTACTACAACAAGTCTAAGTACTAATTTCCAAGGTGGAGAGGTTTTATTATCTACAGCATTGATGGATGTTATAAGTCCGAGTGGAATTAAATACACGTGCAGGGCATTCTTAGACAATGGCAGCCAATCTAACTTCATGACAGAAAATCTCTGCCAAAGGTTAAAACTAAAGAAAGAAAATTCAAATGTATTAGTAACAGGTATTAACGAAGGAACAACTAAAACTACAAACAAGGTACAAGCAACATTTCAGTCAAGAAATTCTAATTACAAAGCAACTGCAACATTTTTGGTTCTTCCTAAAATAACAGGGTTACTTCCAACACACACTGTTAATACCAGTCAATGGGATATCCCTGGAAATATCACTTTGGCAGATCCCACATTCTGCAAACCATCTAAAGTTGATATTTTGTTAGGACAAGAGTTTTTCTTTGATCTTTTGGAAGATGGGAGGATAAAGAATCAAAATTCACCAGTACTTCAGAACACAAAGCTCGGCTGGATAGTTGGAGGCAAAGTACACCATCAAAAGTCATCAACTGAAACGTCTTGTCATCTAACTACACTGGAAAGCCTTGATAAGAATATTCAAGCATTCTGGAAAATTGAAGAAGAACCTATAAAAAAGGCGACAATGACATCAGAAAATAAACTATGTGAAGAAATGTATGACAATTCAGTTCAAAGAGGCGATGATGGGCGCTACACTGTCAAAATGCCTCTGAAGCAAGATCCAAATTCCCTAGGAGATTCCAAAGAATTAGCAATCAAACGATTTTATCAAGTTGAAAGACGATTAAAAAATAACAGTGAACTGCAAAAACAATACAAATCCTTCATGCATGAATATGAGGAACTTGGACACATGGAAAAGGTTACTGCAAATGAAACTGACAAACCAGTGTATTATTTACCCCACCATCCAGTTATTAAGGAAGCCAGTTCAACAACTAAATTAAGAGTAGTTTTCGATGCTTCAGCAAAAACTACAACAAGGATATCTCTGAATGACTCGCTTATGGTTGGTCCGACTCTTCAAGATGATTTATTTTCTATCCTATTGAGATTCAGGATTCACACTTACGTTCTGACAGCAGACATAGAGAAGATGTATCGACAAATCTGGATCCATCCAAGTCAACGAGACATGCTAAGAATCCTTTGGAGAGAAGACAACTCAAAACCTGTCCTCAATTACAGGCTCAATACAGTTACGTATGGAACAGCATGTGCTCCTTACTTAGCAATCAAAACTATTCAACAATTGGCTCAAGATGAAAGATCACAATATCCACAAGCTTCCAATGTAGTGATGAAAGACTTTTATGTGGATGATGTATTGACAGGAACAGACGACATTAATGAAGCAAGGGTATTAAGAGATCAACTGGTCGGTATGTTAAAGTGTGGTGGCTTCAATTTGCGAAAGTTTAAC